TGTTATGTCATATCTGAGTCAGAGATCTTATGGAAGTGGAAGCTGTTTTAAGTAGGTATTCTTCTATCTACTTATTGCAATTAAGACACCGAAATCTATTACTTTTTTTAGTGATATTGTTCTTCTGACTCATTGGTCAATTCCAGTGATGTCGTTTGTTTTGTATGTGATTAGGTTAAAAATTAATGAAACAAGAAATTAACGACCGAATACTGACAGGCTATTCAATAGGGTAGATGACTAATTTTTATTTTAATGTCCGTCTGGTAGATTATTTTAAAACATTACACACGTATTTTTTATTTTTGTACAGGAACAAATACTTTCGATGATAATTATATTGATTTGAAATGTCGCGTGACGTCGCTTCTGTGTACATTTTATACGTAGAAATGACGTTTTAGCCCCCACTCCTAAACTTTGATTCGTTTTATAACCTATCATTATAACATACCATCACGCCTTTTATGTCCAAAGGGGTAGGCAGAGGTGCACATTATGCCACTGTACAATGTAACACCCACTTTTCACTATTTATGTTATGAGTCCCATAACACGAATAGCGGGTGAGCCTATTGCCATAATAATATACCGGGCATAAATCCAGCCTCCGTACTACTACGGATATTTTTTTTAAGCCCCAGTAATACTTCGCCCGACCCTGGAATCGAACCCGAGACGATACGGCAGTCTATATAATATAGAATCGAGTAACATTTTTTCATTCTCTTATCGTAATGAATCTAATAAAACATACCAAACTGGGATTCCTCCCAAGAGAGCTAGAGCCAAGAGAGAAGCGCGATTACATAAAATTACAGGCACAGTTTAAAAAACCATTCCCCTACTACCATAAATCACATTTTTTTTTAATGAACAGGGCGCCATTTTGTGAGTAATTACACTGTCATTTTTGTACTATCACGTTCCTAATATTAACCCCTGGGCAGCCGGGTCGCGTTGTTACAATCTCAGTGACAGATAGTAATGTTAGGTATTTTTTTAATTAAAATTATACGGTTGCAATACAAAATTGTTGTGAAGTAGGTTTGTCTATCCATTCTTTCATTAATGCATGTTGTCACGCGAAGTTTTGGTTGGAAATTTGTCAGCTGGTTTCAGCAACAGTTAATTCGAGAATAGAGCGTATTCCTTTTTAAAAGTCCGGCATCGGACCTGTGACTCCTCTGGTGTTGCGGGTGTTCATGGGTGGCGCTGATCTGATCGCTTACCATCAGGTGATACGTTAGCTTGTTCGCCTCCTAATCAATAAAAAAATTCAATGAAGGATGAATGAAATATAAATAATCTTCGCCATCATTAACAACACGTTACACTATACCTAGGCATCTACTTGAGGGTTTGTTATTTGATAAGATTCGCCGTGAAGAAGAGACGTGGACCCTAACAGTTGGTCCACCAATTTAAGGTGGCGCAGCGAGCTATGGAGAGGGCTATGCTCGGAGTCTCTCTGAAGGATAAGATCCATAACGAGGTGATCCGACAGAGAACTAAAGTTACCGATGTAGCCCAAAGGATTAGCAAGCTGAAATGGCAGTGGCCGGGTCACATTTGTCGAAGAACCGATGATCGCTGGGGTAGACGTGTTCTGGAGTGGAGACCGCGTCTAGGCAAACGTAGTGTAGGGCGCCCTCCCGCTAGGTGGAGTGACGACATACGTAAAGTGACTGATGGTGGTTGGATGCGTATGTCCAGCAGTGGACGAAAACAGGCTGTTGATGATGATGATGATGAAGATTCCTTAACGAAACAGAGGAAATTTTACAAAATTAACGACATTTTACAATCCCAGGTTACCAAAAGTTATTTTGTGTATAAAATTTAACAACACTAGACACACAAACAAGTGAACTCATGGCCATGAGTCTAAAGAGAAAGTGAGCTTTGAATAAATAATAAATAAAAAAATCATTTCAGACTACAGAGTCCATAGGCAATTTTTTTAGTAGTTACAACAAATCTTATAACAACTTTTAATAACCAACAATTAAACGCTCAAGTTAAGTTATGTGCATAATTGCTACAAGTTTTTGTCAACTATCCTTCACAGAATCATTTGGTAATAAGTACGAACCGTCACTAACCAATATCAAATATTCACTTTGAAAATCATAACATAACATCACGCCTTTTATGCCCAAATGGGTAGACAGAGGTGTACGTTATGCCACTGTACAATGTAACACCCACTTATCACTTTATAAAAACTCAGTAGTACTTTGCCCGACCCGGGAATCCAACCCGAGACCCCTTTCCTGGCAGTCTCACTTGCGACCACTCGGCCAACGAGGCAGTTTGAAAATCAGTTTCGATTAAAGTCGACATATTTTAAAAATGCAACCTTCATTCATCCCCGTAACCCAACATTCTAGAAACCGGATTAACCGTACAGCGCAGCGCGATGTTACTTCTAATTTTACATTCGCTACCCATTTGCGAACCGGTTTTTCGGACGATCGCCGGATACCAAGCCCGACCGGGTAACTTATTTATTCATTTATTTGTTTATACATTTGGAAAACCAACAGCTATACAGTTTGATTAACACGTTGAGTACCGTCATTATAGACACAATTAAAGAATATTATGTTGCGGTCACCGGTGTCCTCGCGGTGTTTGACAGTTTAAATAGAATGTGGTATGCAACAAGAAGCCAATTACTGGTTTCCACGATTAGTAACAGAGAGTAGAAACATGCCAACACAGTGCTAAAATTACTTATAAAACTAATTAAACCACAGGCAATCTATAATGATGCACAAATTGCTCCAAATATTAAGGACCATATAGGTACCCACTATGAATTAAAGAAATCAAGGTTCAGTTGCCTACGTGTACCTAAGTTTTGTGTTAAATGGGTCGAATGAATAATGTTTACAAAGTTTATTGAAATCATTACTCTCTCGCACAATATAACTAATTATAGTAAATTGATAAATGAATTTATATGATTTTTATAAGTCTTAATTTATGCTATTTTTGTGGGTCTTTAAGTTAGAATTTTCTATTTGAATAGAATGACATGACTTAATTTACAGCTTGAGCCGACAGTCTTTCCTACAGGAACAAATAATAATAAATAAAATAAATCATTTGAAACTACCTAATTCTTATGAAAGTTGGTCCTATTAGAGGCTTGAACTAGCGGAAGTTTTTATATACCGTCTAAATGGTCTATACAGTGCCTTTAGCCAAACGCCATTTTAGCGCTTGTCTACAGAGAGAATAGAAAATTAAATGTATGCGGATAACACTGACAAGTGTCAAAATTTACGTCAATTCCATATGATTTGGTTTTCTAATCTACATGTGCACAAGCGCTAAATGGCATTTGGTTACAGCTGCAGGTTGGAAACAGATCGCTCTCGAAACGCTGATAATTTTTTTTTTGCAATTTAGTTAATTTTTCGTTTTCATGTGATTTATGCAACATCACCATTGAGCAGTTGATTATAATTATTACCACAGAAACATTAAATTCTTTTCTTTTCCGTTGACAAGGTGTATTATGAAGTCTGATAGCATCTGCAATATACTGCCATTACACAGAAGTCCACGAACTACAATATCTAATACTATAATGGTGGATATATCCTTAAGTGTGGGAGAGCCATGCTTCGGCACGAATGGGCCGGCTCAACCGGAGTGATACCACGGCCTCACAAAAGACCGACGTGAAACAACGTTGTGTTGTGTTTGAGTGAGGTTACCGGATGCCCAATTACCCCGCCCCCACTTCTCGCTTTCCCCAATCCCTGAATCCCCAACAATCCTCAAATTCCTAATCCCGATTCCTAAAAGGCCGGTAACGCACTTGTAACGCCTCTGGTGTTCCAGGTGTCCATGGGCGGCGACGATTGCTTACCATCAGGTGATCCGTCTGCGAGTTTACCGGCTTATGCCATAAAAAAAACTAACTGTAAGCATAGATAAATTAGATAGGGTATATAACAACCCCTTTAGGGAATAAAACGCGACATGTACATATGTATACATGTATTACGTAGATGTCGTGAATTGGAATGTGAAATTGCCTCGGTCGAGCGTACGGTGCGCGCTATGTAATTTTAAATTTATCGCCATATTGGGAATATTTTTAAATTCTGATACCGATATTCCAGAGTAGAGCAATATTTTTAATATAATAGTTTCAAGCTGGAATTTATTAGGTTTTATTTTACCTATTTTATCATTTGTTAAAGATTTATTTATAAATTAATTTATGTTTAATAATTTTATTTATTATTAAAGAACAGAATAACTGTATTTTTGTAAAGGTTTTTTATTTAATACGAAAAAATTTGCTACATGTTTTAAATGTGACCTTTTCCTAAAGGTTTATTAAACACATTTGCTTCTAAGAACCAATGGTTATGTGTTTTGGGTATCTATTGAGTCAAACCCTTTTTTGTCCACAGTTTTAACAAACTACTCCTGCAAAAAGAGGAGTTGGAACAGAAGCAGCTGCACCTCCTGCAGGTGGTGGAGAGTGAGAGGACATCGAGGTGGCAGTATGCACAGCAATGTGACGAGCTTGCTAGCGAGGTCAAGAAACTGAGGACTGAGGTGAGTGGAACAGGACATAGTGTAACGTGATTTAATTTAAACTGTCAAACACCAAGCGGTCACCGGTGACCGCAACCTATTGTTCTATAATTGTGTCTACAAAACCGGTACTCGACGAGTTAAGGTAACACATCGTATCGTAGTGTAACGTAACGTTACGTAACATATAGCGTATAGTATAGTATCCTAAATGTTATTTTAATGTCTGTCTGGTAGATTATTTTAAAACATTAGACACCAATTTTTTTTTCTAACAAAATTAAATATTTTCGACGGTATATATTGATTTGAAATATCGTGTGACGTCACAATTTACTACATTTTATAGGGAAGCGTGACGTATCGACCTCCCACTCCTAAACTTAACTTCGTTTAAGTACTGTTTTCTTATACAACAAAATAAGACAATATGTTTTTAATATTTTTTCATTATCGAACTGATGAACTAATTACCAACATTTTGAATTTTCATACACTGTCTACTACCTTACATATAATAGCGTAACGTAAATTACGTAACCGAATGTAACGTAATAAAACGTAGAATAGTGTAGTGTAACATAACGTAAAGTTAAGCAACATAAAGTCACATTCTATCATTATGATTTTGGCTCTTTACCACAGTTGTGCACATACAAGAAGGAACATGAGCCGGCAACCCGCGCAGCTTCCACCTCCAGCTCTTCACCCAGCCATTCGCCAGAAATTGACCCAGCCGAGCTCAGGAAGATTAAGAAAGTTCAGGTAAGTGTTCATGGCACTTAAGTTGTAAGTGAAGATCCCACTAATGGATAACTATGTTTATCTACTGATGCAGCCACAGATATATTAAAGAATTTTTTAATATTTCTGTGGATGCTGTACCTTATCATTGTGTCATTCTTCAAACAGTCATTTTGAGTAACAGTTTTTCTCATACCTCTGTTCGGAACGGTAACGGGATCATAGCGCTATCAACATTTTATAAAAAAATAATTTATAATTAACACGACTTGTCCCAGCGTTCAATAGATGGCGTTGGGATCGAATTAGATGGCGCTGTGGTTTCGTCCGGGATTTATATAGGGTACGGGGAAATGTTTCTTATGGTGTGAGCAGCAACCATTGTAATCATTGGAAACATCAGGGAGCAGGGGAGAGAGATTCGATTTTACTGGTTGAGGGCCCATGTTGGAACGGTCGGAAACGAGAGAGCAGACGAATTGGCTAAAGCCGCTGCCAAAACAAAAGATAACACCACAGCAGACTACACTAGAGTACCCATGTCCTATGTCAAAAAGAAAATCAGGGAAGAAACCATCCGGAAGTGGCAGGACAGATATACAACCTCCACTACTGGGCAGGTAACTAAAGCTTTTCTCCCGGATGTCAAGGAGGCATATCGATTAGTGAGATCGACCAAGTTGACACCTGCCCAAGTTCAGGCGTTGACGGGACATGGAGGGATCGCTGAGTACCTGCATCGGTTCAAGCTAAAAGAAAGTGCGGGTTGCGAATGCGATCCAACTATCAGTGAGTCTGTATGGCACATCATTCTCGACTGTCCTCGTTTTCTGGCCGCCAGAACCAACCTAGAACATCAAATTGATGCAAACCTGGTCCACTCTGAACTGAGTTCTATACTAGCTGACAAATCTAAAAGACCGCACTTCCTGGGTTACATGGATGCCATTTTTTGCAGGGCGGCTGAAAGAAACAGCACACTTAATAAAAGGAGCCAAACAGTAACCAGCTTGGAGAGTCGATATAATTCCGCCATGGTGGCGTCCGAGACTCCGCGTACAACAATAGCTGATCCGCTCACTATTAACGAACAGCAAATCCTCTTACAAGGAGAGCATGGTACGAAAGGTATACGAATCCGAGGAGTGGCTTTGTTCATGAGCACCGGCAGCGAGAGACTGGGGATCGCCTTCTGCAATACCTCAAATCAGAAATGGCTCAAAATATCACCGGGCCTTGCCTCCCTGTTGAATGGCAGCACCTTTAAAACAAGCATGAGACGCAAACAATATGAAGCGCTTCCAGAAATTAAACTGATGGGTCAAACCTGTCGACTGTTGCGAACGCGCAATAAAACTATTGCAATGTTTCCCGGCGTTGACTCAATGACCTGTTTTCAACAAGCATGCAAGGTGCTGTCCGGTATAGGTAGGTGGGGAGAAGTGGATGGCGTAACATCCAGAATAATTAGCGTGGATGCCGCAGTGGTGGCTTCCCAGAAAGGAAAAACAGCGGATCTCATGGGCTGTGTTGAAGCTTCAGAACATCATGAAGTCATCGTTTATGAGGACAGAGGTCAAGACCTTAGTTTCCTTAGAAAAACGGTCCAGGGTCCTCCAAGTGTCGGCTCTCCAAGCGGCTCAGAGCGCTTACAACAAAAATATTCTGAACAAAGCGCTCTGCAAAAACATGAACTCAACATCGAAAGGCAAAATAGGGAACGAGATTCACGAAGCAGCATGTGGGCAATAACATCAGCTATATGTACAGCTGTGGGTCTCGTTTCTTCACCCTTCAGAAGAAGTATGACCGGATCCACGCACGGGGGAGGGCATGTCGCTCAAGTACAACCTAATCAACCCAAGTCATCGCCAACAAGAGCCGCCATGGGTCACGTCTGTCCGCCGAAACTCCGCCATGCAGATACTCCCAGAGACCATCTCATAAACGCTTTCCTCGAGTTTGTCGCAGTAATAGAAGCTACAAAGCAAGTCAACTTGCGAACGTGCAAAGCGATCCTGCAGACTTACCTGCAGGGCAACGAGCTGATACTGGATGACAGGCTCGAGGCTGCGGAAGCAGTCATATACGACAACAGTACATCGAAAGTATTGAGAGGTGCGTCAATAAGTCGTAGTATGGCAGCTTATAACGCCACCGCAGGATTTGTGTCTCTGGATGAGAAAGAGACAGAAAAACACGGAGTTGTGAAATTTAAAACACCCCCCGAAGATTCCTTAGTGGTGGTTGCCAGGTGTACCAGGATTATGCTGGATGATGGGATCTTGGAAATGGCAAAATCCATCTCAGGAACTGGGCCGGACGGAGTAGTCTTTAGGGACTGGGATACTCCGATGTTTCATTGGACGAACGGTGTACCGGGATGCGGCAAAACTACTTGGATAATGAACCAATTCGAAGCGGAAAGGGATTTAATTGTCACCACAACAACAGAAGCGGCAAATGACCTCAGAGGCAAACTGTCCTGCCGAATCGGGGGATTAGTCAAATCTAAGGTCCGAACAATGGCGTCCATTTTAGTGAATGGAGTAAAAGAACAAGAGAGCTGCCACCGAATCATGGTAGATGAGGCTCTCATGAATCACTTTGGGGCCATTGTGATGGCTGCACGAATAACTCAGGCCAAAGAAGTCCTACTTATTGGTGACGTGAATCAACTTCCCTTTATTGACCGCGACAACCTCTTCCCCCTCGTATACACCCGCCCTGCACACATCGTGGCCGTGACCCGGGAACTTCTCTGCACTCACAGAAACCCAATGGATGTGGCATATGCTCTTGGTATTGTGTATTGTGGCATATACTCGTCTAAATCAAGAGTGAGATCCCTTGAGTTAAAAAGTTTTTCAAGGGCGCGGATCCCGAAGTCTCCCCCGAACACGTTATACCTGGTACACACTCAGGTAGAAAAGGAATCCCTCAAAAACCAGGGATACGGATCGGGTATGGGGTCACGAGTACTCACAATACACGAGGCCCAGGGGCTGTCGTATGCGGCAGTGGTGATTGTGAACACAACGGACAGGAAACAGCGGATACACGACAGTGTACCTCACGCCGTGGTAGCTATATCGCGTCACACTGACAGTTGTGTCTACTACACGGACATAAATGATGACGCAATCAGCAAAATAATCAGACGGGCGCTGGGTGAGGGTGAGCAGGGAATCCTGGATTATAACCTAAAAATGGCAATAAAAAATAGAGATGCGCTGGTCGTGAGCGCTCTTCTGGGTGGGGACGGTTCGTAAAGCCGCACAACTGCTGAAAAGGTCCAGATATAAAAAAAAAAAAAAAAAAAAATCATCATGGATTAGAGTTGTTGTATACATGTTTTGGTGTGTTCGAAAAAAAAAAATTGTATTTATTAAAAATGTAATTAATGTAAAGTAATATAAGTTTATTAATAAGACTAATAAAAACCACTAGCACTACTGCAATTAGCTTACTGCCGCGTGGGCGGGGACGTCATGCATTCGTAAATGTTCTACAGTCGGTGGCGCTGTGGGCTGGGTCGTTCCGTTCCCTACGAAATGGTTGATCGGACCGATTGCTGGCCTACACGTCATACCCGTGAACGGGTGCCTTCTGCTGGAACAGGTCGGCTCGCTCATCGTGCTGGTGGGCTGATTCAGTAGGGTTAGTCTAAGATAATAAGACTATAATAATTAGGCAACAGCATAAAGTATTGTGTGTAGTACAGTGGTAGGCGTAGCATGTAAGATCTTTATAAAAAAAAAAAAATATTTGACCATAGAAAGTATGTACTTGTAATATGACAAGGGCATGGACACGAGTCCGTGGAGAAATTCAATTTTTTATTTATTAAAAAAAAAAAAAAAACCATTGTAATCGTTATTTTATACGCGATATCAGTACAGTGTTTAAATTATGCACTCTCTCCAAGTCGACCTTCGTTCATCTCTGTCTTCTCGATGATCTTGAGAAAATCTGAGTAAGTTTTTATGTATATTTTTTTTCTATTCAAATAGAGTTTCTTCCGCGGTTGGCTATGCCGTCGTCGCTGGAAGCAGATCGTGGACGAGTACATCAAGAGTCCTCATGCTGAGAGCATGCGCAAACGGAACAGCCTGGTCTTCAAGATGGTGGAGGCTGAAGAAGAATATCTTGAGCAGATGGAAATATTGGTAAGTTTTCACTTATTTTTATTGGTGTTTATCTGAGTGATAGTTAGGAGAAGTCCTAAGATATGATTTTTTGTAATTTCACTATGGATTTGCTGAGAGTTTCGTAATCGACAACTCGCCTTTTTTCTTGATCTTCGAACCAGTCTTTAAGACCAGACAAACCAAATATACAATATTGAAAAAATCATTGTTATCGGAGTTTGGTTAAAAATTAACCCTTGTCCCAGGTAACCTGTTTCCTCCGACCCTTCAAAATGGCGGCCAGCTCCAAGAAGCCGCCCTGCACCCACGAGGACGTGAACTCCATCTTCTTGAACAGCGAGACAGTGCTGTTCCTTCATCAGATATTCTTCAAAGGTCTCACCTCGAGGATGGAATCCTGGCCCACGTTGGTCTTAGGTGAGTTTTACATAAAATTATTTTGTAGTGAAATTTCATTCATCAGAACATAAATTAATATCGAAGGCACCATTACAATGAGATACTGTTAATATTTTTAATAGCTACGTTTTGAGTTCATCATTGAAGTCCAGATGTTGTGTTTCTATTGCGGTTTTCGAACACCGGCATTGAGCAAGTGTGGTGATAAATACTCAAACCCTTCTCCGTGTGAGAAGAGGCTTTGCTCAGAAGTGGGCATTTATAGGCTGTTGATGATGATAATAATGATTAAGAATTCCCAAAATCGGCATACCTAACTACCTATCAACTTGAGGAACCAGTGAATGATTACATAACATCACGCCTTTTACACCCGAAGGGGTTGGCACAGGTGGACATTACGGCCAATGTACGTACATACAATGTAACACCCAATTTTTACTATTTATGTTATAAGTCCCATGTAGTAGGGGGTGAGCCTATTGACATATACCGGATACAATTCCAGACTTCGTGTTACTACTGAGATTTTTTTTAAAACCCAGTAATACTTTGCCTGACCCGGGAATTTATATATTTGTTATTCCAAGTTTTAACTTACTAATCGAATCTAATTAGTTATCTAACTATAATTCATTAACCCTAGCTATAAGATACCTTTGAACACTCAAAGTAAACAAAGGATTACACTTAGTAGTGCACCTACATACAGGAGACCTATTCGACATGCTCCTCCCGATGCTGACCATCTACCAGGAGTACGTGAGGAACCACCACTACTCCCTCCAAGTCCTGACGGAGTGCAAGCAGAGTCAGCCATTTGCACAACTCCTGGCGAGGCTGGAAAGTAAACCTGCTTGTCAAAGCCGGTCACTGGAGACGTTCTTGACTTATCCGATGCATCAGGTACGTGTAATGGCGTTTAGAATACTGCAGTCGGTTCAGGTTTTTTAGGGACTTCTATAAGACAATATCGTTGCAGATATTTGTCGGCTTTAAAACCCTGTCAAATTAACTTTGTTGACGAATGGTGTGATCAAGTTGATGCTTTGTCACTGTTTTTTACGGAGTAGCTCCCTAATTAAATGAGTTAATTGTTATTCATGGGACGTATTTGGAAGAAAATTAATGACTATGGTTGTAGTTCTGTCAGAGTAAGCTTTAGAGTCATTTACATTACTCAGAAGAAAATAATGGAAACGTAGTATGAATATTAAGACGTGTGCAACATTTCTGGAATGTTAAAATAATATTTTGTTACTTGTAGTTACTATAGATTACTTCAATATTCACAACCCCGTATACTCCAACGCACTGTGTGACGGTCCCAGATCCCGCGCTACATCATAACGCTGCACGAGCTGCTGGCGCACACGCCGCACGACCACGTGGAGCGCCGCAGTCTGCAGCACGCGCGCGCCCAGCTCGAGGAACTCTCGCGGCAGATGCACGACGAGGTACGGCTCACCGGACTCGTACAGTAGGCGCAGTTCATACTTACTCAACTCTGTTTCATTTTAGGTCAGTGAAACGGAGAACTTGCGAAAGAACTTGGCCGTGGAGCGCATGATCATCGAAGGCTGTGACATTCTACTCGATGTCAATCAAGTCTTCATACGCCAAGGTATGTTTTATGTATACTCTAACTAATACAATAAGTTAGTATCCTGATAGTTTTTACTATTACTGTATAAAATGTCATAAAGGGTAGGCTTCAGTGCATTTTATGCTTTATCGAGAATTTCAAGACTGCAACAGTGGTAGGTATCTAAATATTGTACAACCAGGCAAACAAACTCTTTTGCTTGTCAGCCACACTCACCAGTTGAGCGGCGAAATAAGAATGTTTCTTTTAAAACTCCATTAATATTTCAAGGAACACAAAGAACTACATTGGCTTAATAGTGTCTTCTCATCCCTAGGAACGTTATCCCAGGTAGTGGGCAAGGGCCGCCGCGCCACGCTGCAGGCGCGGCAGGCGTTCCTGTTCAGCAACCACCTGCTGCTGACGACGCGCTGCTCATCGAGGACCCCGCTAACCATGACGATGATGGTAGGAACTGTCCCCTCGCAGTGTTACATTGAGAACGTGTATGTGTGTTTTGATCTTATTATACGGTGTCTAAAGAGATATGTACTAAAATTATTAGACTAGAAGTGTTCAGTCAACTACAAGTGACTGAAATTTTCGTCACCTGCAAACTTTTAAAAATCGCCTTAAAGAAAGAAAACCAATAATGTATACCTGCCACATTTGCAGACACAACGTCCGTCTGTTCTTCGCCTGGTGGTGACATCTACCAGGGCAAAGACTTCAAGATTCTGGTCGAAGTCAAAGGAGAACAAATTTGTGCTCATTTGGGTAAGATCAACCATTCTTTTATAACTAAACTGAAAACTCTCCAGTTATCATATTATTTACTAACGTTTTCCTACATTCCCTAGTCGCTGGGAGCGTGGAGGAGAAAGCAGGTTGGACAAGCGAGCTGGCGCAGTGCATGGAGAGTGCCGCCCTGACGGAGTTGCTCCGAGCTTGCGGCGCGTGCGGGGCCGCGTCGGCCAGCCTGCCCGCCTGCCGCTCGGACCGCGCGCTCTTCACGGACGACGTCGACATTCGGTTCAGCAGGACTCTCAACTCCTGCAAGGTGCCGCAGATTAGATCTGCCACGCCACAACGGTTGCTGCAGAGGCTTACAGGTGAGCTGATGAGATGAGATGGCCAAAACATGAAGTAGACCGTAAGATTCCTTGTTTTTAGGTTTATAGTTCTGAAAGAGCTAAAAAAAGCATCATCACTTTTGACCAATACATTTCAGATCTTCGATTCCTATCGGTGGATTTCCTAAACACGTTCCTGCTGACGTATCGTGTCTTCACCGATGGTGTGACTGTACTGGAGGCTCTGAAGCAAGTCTTCTACGAACAGTCACAGCAGGAGATGGAACTGGCGCCACCACCAGACGCAACAAGGAAGACCAGCGCTGCAAGCTCTGTTTCTGGTAAGAATATAAAGATATTTAGAGATCACCTTATAAATGTTTCTAAACCCAAAAATCCTCTTGAGAATAATTTTTCAAAATATTTAAAAGAAAAGATTACATGTAAATGGCAGGCTGTTACTAAATCTGACAGAAAAAAAAGCGCAATCTATTTCAGGGTACGGGTCGGAATACAGCGACCGGGACTGGCAGTCCAGATTCTGGCGCGCTTCGAGAAAAAGTAAGTTTGAAGTAAATCTGTTGGTATTGTAGAAACTATTGCTTTGAGATTAGAGGATTATAAACGTGATTCTATGTAACAAAGTCTGTCGAATTTTAGGTGAAGATGAAGATAAGCTGTCTCCTTACTTGACGGCTCCATCACGAAGAACTTCTACGGCTAGTAAGGTAATTTAAGCTTAAAGTCTAATAATGCGAAAGTTCATAATTGAGCGACGCACTAGTACGCGCTTGATCAATAAATCAGTAACTGTAGTTGTAATTTAAGCTCTATTTCATGTTGAATAGACTATTATTTTGATTAATCAATTTCTGTACACATGCTTACCTAAGACTGAGGAGGATAACAGTCATTTGACGATACCAAAAATAATGGCCACGTCGTCAAGTAATGAGACGTTGAAAGGTAAAGGTACATACCGTTTTACTGAGTAAGTAGTAAAGCAGTTATTATTTATAGAAATAGTGAACACTCTATGTCATTATTAACCAAAGAACAGTGAGTCAACGGATGTGATAAAATGGGCAAAGAAGAGTAAAATAAGCAGACTACCGATTTTTGTACGCTGAAGAATAAAAACTCATCTGTATATCAACCAAAGTTTATCACCAGATCAGAACCTATGCTTAAAAAAACCTTCTTTTATAGGTACCTCACCATCTTCACCAGGTGCGATAAGCTCCGTCACCTTAGTAGGAAGTCCAAAGAAGGCCAGCCCTGTCCAAGAACCGACTCCTAAGAAGAAACCAGCTCCCAAAGACAATGACGCAGCTGCAGCTCTCATGAAAGATGAGAGCATAGAAATGGTAGACCAAAGTGATGAAGATGTAAAATATAAAGAGGAAGAACAAGAGAAGAATAAAAAGAAACCAGATGATAAGTTTAAAATATCACAAAGATTCTCAGAGGTAAACTCAATTTTAAAGTTTCATCAACTTCAAGCTATAGCTTTGACTATGTAGACATTTCAGCTATTTTCTGTACAATCTCTTTCTATCAACTTTGTTTCTTCAAGATTAAATTATCAGGAATTTCAGGATAACCTATATTTGTGTATTTTACGGTATGAAGGATTTTTGGTATGTCTGTTGTTATTACTTCTTTGAATATGCATGATCCAGTGGTGTCCTTTTCTATCCTTGTGAGGTTTTCATAAACATTTCAAAACGCAACATGTTCCAATCATGGGATTAGGGGTCAGATTTTTAGGTCATTAAATATGTACGAGTTGAAGCCGATTTACAGACACCCGATTTATTATTGTAATTAAAACGAAATGAATATCTTTTATTGAAGCACCGTTTCTATCAATTAGTAAATTGAATCTATTAGAAAATTATCTATCATAATAAATTAACGCACAGTCGACGGTAACAACAATATACACAATGCTATTACTTGGTATTTTAATTATACTATCTACAACTATTTTTGCATTAAAGTCTTCCACTACTCTCAAAACATTTATAGTCTTTACCACTTCATCTCTACCATTATTGCTTGTTGAAGTATTAAAAGACAGAAACACAACGAGTTAAACAGTTTATCCAACAGCGTGTGCGTACCATGTCGGAGTCCCCTCGACGTCTGCAGCCGTCTTCGGCAGCTTCCGAAGCTAGGCGCAGGTCGGACAGCGCCAGGGAGACTGCTGAGTCTGCTACTGCAGAGGAACCGAGGAGGGCATCTGATTCTGGCACTAGATTTGCTGCTAGAAGATCTGTGAGGTAAGGCAAATTTTGGTGTTACATTGTTCTCCCACAATCAAACCAATAAAACTGTGTAACTGGAGAATTGTATTGTGAACCTGATACTGGAAAAGAGTAACCTATGGAGTTTCTTGCTCGTTCTTCTCTATCGGAATCTACACCTTGGAATGAGCAATTAGCTTCACTTTTAAATGTCTATTGCTGACGTTCAAAAGTGCCTTCCTGGTCTAATTGAAATAAATGATTTTGACTTTGAGTTTGATTTTAAGGAGTGAAGTTCTTAACCAAAGTTGAAAAATCTTGTAATGCAAGTCATTAGTTTGGATTGGACCCCCTTAACATTACCTGTTAGCATCTTTACTGTAATAATATTTTATACGTCTTCAAATGGTATATGTAATGTACAAAATTTATATCAACAGCGAGCGCCGGTACACCAACTCATCGATCAACAGCGAGCGCCGCAGGTATTGGGGTGGTTCCGAGCCGAGATCCTCTGTCACTTCTCAAGTATCCCATGCTCAGGTAAGTAATATGGACTCGTACTTACATGTCACTAAAACCTAACTACTTATATGTATATTTGGCCAAAAATTTGAATGGTGATGGGTATTTTAATTTGGAAATTTCAATCCAGAATTATCGACGTGAGACAAGCCAACCGAAAGCGGGCGTTGTGATCACATCGTTCAGGCAATCTCATCGGAGGTAAGACAAATGCTGCGATGGTTAATACCAAACTAGATTTTATTCATAACATAATTATGTATTCGTAATTTGAAGGACTGCGAACTAACTTGATTATTGATCATCTAGCACACAAGGGAGCTCACGATTCTCAATGTTGTGGCATGCTATTCACCTTTTTCTTAACAATCTAAAATTCTTTGTTAATCTTATTAACATTTTGATGCTTCTGCACGACATTCTATCGAGAGTCTCTAGCCTCGTAATAGTACCTTCATACTTGATGACTTTAAAAATGATAATGTAACTATTAATATTGATTTAACAGCTTTGGAAAAGACCTGTTGTGGTGAGTGAATGGTACAGGTAAAAGATGTAGAGACCGAACCTAGTAGAGATGCTGTAGAAGATTTTTAATAATTCCGCTTTACCTAGCATTCTGACGTTTCCTTGCCCTTTTTTATAAATTTTGTAAACCCTATTGTAAGTAGACATGACACTACAGCAGAACACTACTGTAATCGTGAAAACTGAACAGAGAAAACATATCTATATCTACCTGACGTTATTGACTATCTTATAAATGCGATTAGAGCTGCACTGATCACCATTTACGAAAAGTGCGAGAAGGTAGTTTTACATACAAACCTGCCTTGTATTTTGATCGTTACCATTTTCAGGAAATCTATACTGTACAATACAGTATGGATTGAACTACTACGTTGCATACATTTTTGAAGAGCAATTTTTTTATGTCTGAATTCCACATAAACCTGACGTTATTCACCATCCCTGCCTATGCTCTCTTCGCTGTCACTTCTCATATCAACATCTACTACTCTCATTTCTTCTTCACAAAAAATATCACACAAAAATACAAAATAATTAGTAATTTTTTACAGATTTTGCTTATGAATATTAGACCTAGATTTTATTCGAAATTTTATCTTTATTACAATGAACATTTTCGATCACCTCGGTTTTTGATTAAGATAATAAAATGCACTTTTGTTTTATATTTGTTGTCAAGTAATTTTGGAATAGAAGTTGAATTGGAAATTAGTGTTTCAATTAATTATTAGTTTTATTTTTCTAAATTTTTAATAGAGTGTCAAAATTTGCATGCTTTTTATTTGTAATTGGAAATTAATTGGAAACGGGGAATAGGCGAAACATAATTCTGTGAGGACTCAGAATATTTCTTCTTTCTGATTTCTTTCTGTCTCATTCACCTCCCTGTCTTTCTGCCTGTTTTCCGAACTCTTACTCTGCATGTGTACGTATACTGTTCTATGTTCTTTTATATTCTTCACCATCAACTCCACTCTTTCATAATCTCATGGACAGTCCACATAAACCTTTGTCAAAACACCTTTGGGAGAATATGTCACAACTCAAACTTATTAAAAATGTATCATCAAATGTTTCGTATTCTAATTTGTGTCCATGGTTTAGGAGTAGCACGTCTACTGCAGCGGTGGCTTTTGCTGTAGCTACATCAGCTTCATCTAACCCAAGATCTCCACCACCAAATTCACCACCAGCTACTAGACGGGACTCTGTTATATCTACTGCTGCGACCATGAGAGTCCTCAACGTTTTGAGGTAAATTAAGATAAGCACTTACAATATGAAGTTATTTTTTACTTACGTCTGTTTTCATTTACCAAGATTTTTCATTTTAATTACTTTTGTAGACACTGGATTTCTAAACATTCTCACGATTTCTGGTCTGATGAGCGTCTTCGGGGTCTGACAATGGATTTCCTGAAAGAAATCGAAAGTAGCCCTGGATTATTACCGGCTGAACATAAGGCTGCAGCTCAGCTGTTGCGGCTGTTAGAAAGAGCTCCAGAAAGAACAGTGGATTTGAAGGCGCTGTTTATACCACCTCACGTAAGTACATAGGTTTAATAAATCTTTAGGTTTCTCTTCTACAATATCCATTATTAAAAAATTTAATATTTTTCATTTTCAGGTGCCAACAAAAGAGAGCGTAGAGACGCTATCTGCCCTGGAAATAGCAGAACAAATGACGTATTTGGACTACCAAATCTTTAGTTCGATTAACAGCGAGTAAGTCAATAACATTCAACCTTGGTAAACAACCATTAAAATTATATTACGTTTTAATATACTTCACATGTTTTGTCTTCTTGCAGGGAGTTCTTAGGACAAGCTTGGACGAAAGCAGACAAAGCCGAAAGGGCACCTCATATCCTCATGATGACGTCACATTTCAATCACATCTCCAACTTGGTGATCTCTGAAATTCTAAAGAAGTATACTTTGGCTGGTAAGAATAAGCTGGTCAAGCAATTATTAGTCGTTTCTCCTTTAGAAGGATGTTGTTAACCGTCTCCCTATAATTACACATCAATAAAAGGGGATTTCAAGTGAAGCTGATATGATATTAAAGATTTTTAGGAGACGTTTCAAAAATATTAATCGAAGACTCAATCAAATGTCTAAATTGGACTTGGAAGGATTGAAACAATTCCTAGACATTGATAGGTGGAACATGATGATGTTGACAAATCTTGATTAAGAAATATATTTATATAAAATTATATAATTTCATTTGTAGGTCGTGTAGCAGCTATAGAGAAATGGGCAGCAGTGGCAGACATAGCTCGTTGTCTGCACAACTTTAATGGAGTGCTGCAAGTATGCGCAGCTCTGTCCAACACCTCGGTCTACAGATTGAAGAAGACTTGGGAGAAAGTCTCCAAGACTGTGAGTATCATTCATAGATTATGCAATGAAGATGAGATAAGTGTTTTTATTAGAGTAGACGGTCAATGTTTAATATTCTTCCATATTTTTTTTTAATAACTGAGAAGGTTTTTTCTTTTGTACACATAAAATAATTCCCTTTTTTCAGAGTAAACAAACTATAGAGCGTATGCAGACCATTATATCTTCGGAATGCCGATTTAGGATTTTACGAGACGCTTTGCACAGGTAATATAAATAATTCCATTTCCTATTTATGCCGTGAGAGCAAAATAATAAATGGGTACAATCAATCCACGATACTTTTTTAATCTCATAAATATATACACTTCACAGATGTGATCCTCCTTGCATTCCATACTTGGGAATGTATCTCTCCGATTTGTCCTTCATCGAAGAAGGAACCACGAACTACACACCTGATGGACTACTGAACTTCTCTAAGATGAGAATGGTAAGTGAAGGTACAAATAGGCTTGAAGCTTAAAAGCAAACAGACTATTTATTGACATAAATATTGCAGATAGCACACGTGATCCGAGAAATACGAAACTTTCAGCAAACCCCATACAAGATTGATCACATACCAAAAGTAAGTATAATTAGGTTTGACTTTTATATGACATCTTCTATCGACGAATAACTTATTTATTATGATTATAATTTTAAAAGAAAATTACGTTGGACCAAGAATTACCCCTTAGAAACTCCATTTCGACAAAGAATACTTTTGCGTATCAGGTATGTGACTTCCTACTGGACAACTCGCTGGTGATCCCTGAGGAGCGGCAGTACACGCTGAGCTTGGAGCTGGAGCCGCGCGTGTCGCGCGGGTCGGGCGCGGGGCTGCCAGCGGGCGCGTCGCCGGGCTCCTAGCGCCGGCGCCGCGCCTCCCTGGCCGCGCTGGCACCGCTGCGCAACGACCGCTAAGCGGACCGGGGGAGTCGCACGCAAGCTTCTGCTACACCTACATTACGTACGTTATATACTTTTACTCCTATGTGTCTAGTTTCAAGTGATTTGCGAGAACAATGCTTATTAACTTTCGTAGTTAAGTTCTTAATGTAAGCTGTGTTGCGAGTGGTATATTTAATTCTCATAGAATTAGTTGTACAACAGTTTTTGATTGTATCATAGTAATACAGATGAAGGCTTTTGGTGTTATCAAAGCCATACTATTCATGTATCAGGGATAAATTTTAACTTTACCAACCAATGAGCAATATAATCCATCTAATGGAACAGTCTTACAGATTAGGCAGCATATCATGAAATGAATCAAAGTTTAGATTTACTATATGTACTAGTATAACTTGTGTAGACTTTAGTTTATCTTAGTACATAGTTATATTTTTTAGAAGTCATAACTAAGTTTAGCTTCTTATACCGAATAAATTCCTTCAATAGTTTGTGAACAATAGTGATTGAAGAATTATATATTCTGCTAATGCACGCTTCTGCTAGCTTTAAAGCTGTATCAAACTACACTAAACTGCAATGAAACTCAATTCTAAAAAAACGTACCTTCAGAAATAAAGAAAATATATAAATGAACATATTTTAGTACTAAAATAAGATAAAGTAACAAAAAAAAATTAAGCCTTCTCTAACTTTGTGAAAGACGATTTGCTAAAAGATGAATGAAAAAAATTTAAAATGCCTGCAATGGTTCTATATTTTTGTATGATATTCATGATTTGTCAATTAGGTAAGTATTGATATAGTAAGCACAAACATATCACGGAGAATATCTGACTAAGTTCACACAATATGAAATGAAATTGCCAGATCAAGCCGCAATGGCAAACACATTAGTCGGACATGCTTATTCTCGATAAACTAATATGGATTATGAAAAGAATACTCTACTCTACTTGAAAGAATATTAAAATTTTGTGAAATATGTTGATCAAGAAAATATATTCTCAGACAAAGATCAGACGATCCAATGAAATGATTCGTCTAAATCTAAATTGTCATGCCGACGAAAAATGAAACTATATCAATAAGTTCGGCATTAATGTTAGAAATTAAAACTAGTTATACTTTTACAATAACATAGAAATGAGAGCTTTTGTAAATAGTTTCCTAGGTAGCGTAGATTAATATTGATGTACCCCTGTGAGAGTACCCAAAGATATGATGACCCCTAACAATTTCTTAATAAAATTTACAAAATCTCTTGTACGCAGCATAAATCGTCATAGAACAAAATATTTTGAACGAAGGTATTTGAACTATTTATGTAGGTTGGCCTAAATTTTCCTTACTTTCAACTATCTCAAAAAATGATACTTATTGGAGAAAACCACTAATTATCTTGTCATCCTTCTTAATTACATATTTTGATTAGTATTATGGGGGTCTCGTTTTCCTAATACATATCCTATCGCTACATTCCGGAGTGAATGGTAATAATTATTTTAAAGATCTAAAATGTTTATCGAGGATTGTGACTGTATTGTGAGATTTAGCCGAAGCATCTTATAATGTTTATCATTATGAAACTGTATGGAAGTGGTTGTTACATGTTACTTATGGTTGTTATTGTCATTTCGACTGCTTTTACACGATCGTCTTAAATATTTCCCTTGTTATTCTACCATGCTTGTTAGTTATAATGTATGTTACCCTAGGTGTACCACAAGGGCTTGTAATGGGCCCACCCTAAAATAAGTAATATTACAAATGTTTGTGTTATAAAGTATTAATGGAATAGTCAATTGAATTAATGTGGAGAATATAAGAAATATATGTTTAAAGATGGAGAAATATGTGTTACTGAAGATGGTTCAGAAATGAATTTGAAATATCAATTTGAAATACTCGTTAGTGTATAAAATAAATGTTATAGTAAATGGATATCATTTTCGACAGTATTATGATCTTGTATTCTAGTAGGTACTAATTTGATGTTGACATAATTGTTCTTTCCTGGGATTTAAAGAATGATGAGATTCTTCATGATGTCTGACGTAACTTAACGTGATTTCAAGTGAGATACTGTCTGTAAGTCTTTTCTACGTCCTTTTCTATGTCATTTAATGTTAGTGTTATAATAGATTTTAATGTATTGTCTAATCAAGATGTGATTGATTATTGTCGTCTACTGGTATTGTTCTCATCTTATGCAATGCTGTTTTCACAATTTTAAGAATGTTACTTTAAGGATTTAACATCGCGAATTACTTATATCTTAAAGTGTGTATTCGCTTGATTGTGGCAAATTTTAGGATAAAATAATCTGTATCTATAGATAAAGTACTGTTATTATTATTAATATTATAAAGTATATAAAATTATTGGCTGTTTTAAATAGATTTTTAAAATTAATAAAAAAATATTTTGGTGAATTTCCACTTACCTTTATATGCACAATTTTTAAAAGTTTTATCACTAAAGGCTGTCACATTATCTAATTTAAGATTTGAATCATGGTTTGTGTAGAATAGACATATTTATTTATTTAGTTTATAATCGTCTTCCTTGTTATTCGTATTTTTGTTATCTACTCTTAATTTAAGTAGATTAGCGACCCTATGGTTGAAATATTTAATCAACTTTTGATTTAAATTACAATAAATAATTATTACTCAAAATAATTATTGTAATTTACTTGAAACAGTTGTAAAATATTGTACCTACTTATGAAATTTCAACATGATTACGCTTCGATTTTAATATCTCTTATGAAATATCCATTAAGGATTTTAATGAATACGTAATTATTAAAAAAATGTAATAATATATTTTAAAATGTAATCTTCGGATCTACCTCTTCAATAAATATTCTAAATATTACAGAAAAAATATCTAATTTAATATCAGAATTCTATTTATAGTCAGGCGTTGCAGTCTTGCATAGCTTAGAACAGATCTCTTATATTTATTTCGAAAAATTAATAAAAATAATTATTACAAATATTTTATTATACAATTATTTTGTGTAAATTATTCTCTAGTGGTTTTTGATAGAGAACATTTCCCTTAAAAAAATTGAATAAAATAATTAAAAGTCCACTAGCGAAAACCACTAGTAATTCTGTATTAAAATAATTATGCAACGTTAGATATATTTAATTATATTGTAGGTGCTTATGGAGTAAAATATTATCGTTTATTGAAGAGTCCTGTATTTTTTCTATCTTGTTATTTAGGATTATTATGTTTTCCTATGTTGTGTACTTTTCCCAACCTTCTGCTCAGGATGTGTCACGAGAAACAGTGAAAACCAACCCTACGTTTACTAAATACTTATCACTATCAGACCCTGCGACCTTTTTCTAACAACAACAAACCCAGCTGCTCTTAGCAATAAATTCAACGAAATTTATATTATAGAAAAGTCATTAATTGTATATACCTAAGGAGATACATTTCAAAAAATTAATAATAATAAGAGTTTTATTCCCAGTCATCTAAAGGATAGTTTCAAAAGTGTCTTCAAATCAGATGATACAATTTTTGTTTTAACCAAGCATTTGATAACAATTTGTAATCCTGCAGGTAAATTATGTGAAATAACAAATTCACTTCTTACTGTAATAATACTGTCCATAGGTAAAACAGAAATAATAAGCACACGAATCTAAAAAAAGAAAATATAATGCTGAGAAAAGCAAAGCACTAAAATTGGAAAGTCAATTGAACAAAGGAAATAATGTTGAAAACTTATTTTATCCACATTTCAATAGTTAATTTAAGTTTAAATATTAAATAATAAGATGGCATATTTCGTGCATATGCATGTAGAATTGTGTAAGAATGCTATTGTTGAATCGAAGTTCAGATGACGCATTTAAAGTAACTGTGGTCTTTGAATCTCGTGACGCGTCCTTTATAGAAAATTGTTTGGGTATCGTCGTACAGGACACCAGCAAGATTTGAATGCAATTCAGAGGTTGATAGGTGGTCGAAAATAGATTTTAAAATCATCTTAGACCATTTAGTTCAGCTGTGGAAATACATCTCTATAACTCCCTCCTGCTTTGGTCCTACTACGATACCCAAACTTGTTCTCAAGAACAGATTTGTGTAGTTTCATTACCATGGTTTCCTACTACATTATCTTCAAACGGCTCTCTTATGAAATACCTATAATAAAGCTCTTTATAAATTTCGACAATATACATAAAGTTAATTAATACAGAAATATAGTTCTTGTCATAAAACTAGTTTGTTAGATACTCCATAATTTTTTTCTTTCCATTTATCGGTGGGTCATCGGGTTTTACTGTAACTACTAAGGTTAAAATAACTATCTGTGTAAGTATTATATTAAATAATCAACTTGAAATAGCACCGACGCGATGTACAACTTTAATCTAAATGTGTGTTAGGTTTTAGATAATATTTCTATCAGACTAAACAAAGTAAAGTAAGAAACTATCTAGTAAAATGACTTGTTCTGGAATTTTCGCTGACCATAATTTAGATTCAGATCTAATAGTCAACACGGATCATTAAACTAAATTAATAGTTGTCAATTCACTAGAAGGTCCAGAAAGAATTGTCTCGGATATTCTAAATGAACACAATTTGGCTGTGAGTAAACAATTTCTTAATGAATATTATAAAATAGTTCGTGCGTAAATTGAATGTTTTAATCTATCTCCCGATGACCCTTGGAATATGATTTGTGTAGACAAAACTGTACATGACACGCTCAGTGATAAACTAAGAGAGAAGAATTTGGAAAAAGTAGGTATATAATGTGTGTGAAATGAGTACGTTGGAAGACGCCATAAAGCTGTAACGAAGAAGTACCAACATGAATGATTGCTAAATAAATAATATAAAATTTAGAATCGATGAAATTCGGGACAGAAATGGATGTCGTTTTAATCAAAAATCGAAAGCCTTTCTAAAATCCAAGA